TTTTGTAGGCAAATTGCCTGGTTTACTGATGACGCATTTAAGACCAATCATTTAAAACACTGCTACCTCACGGTAGTAATTTTAAGGTGGTTGGGGCCCAAAGTAAAATTAAACATCATCAATATTTTTGTGTTAAATGTAGTATTTACCTCCAATTCGTCTTTGTAGCCCTCCATAGAGCATCACTCGATTTTACACGAGTGGCGATTGATTAGTGACGCTATGTGCATGGCTTTAGAGCAAATGTATGCACGCACCAACCACATCATCGTCAAATCATAGACATTGTCTCGGCTCATCATCTCGACGGGGTCGGTAACGTCAGCACAGCGACATTCTCAGTGGAAACCAGCGAGTGCTTGTCCTGCACAGTATCCTAATACTCGCTCACGTCATAGCAATGTGGAATTTCCACCACCTGCTGAGGGCTTTTAAACAATAAATGAGCACTGCCTCTGCTCATTTGAGCAAGGGATACATTACTTGACAAATCCACATTCGCTAGCCCACGCGAATTACAATGCTGTGTGGTATTACAGCGTACAACAAGACAAAGATCCCCCCTGTAGCCTTAACAGACTGTGGGGGCAAGTGCTGTTGGAGAGCACCTATTAAGGCTGGCACGGCACACGAGGGGGTGGGTGGCCAGCACCACACCCGGCCGCCTTTGTCTCCCGAGGTGCGATGTTTACACGCCGCATCAGATTCTTATTTGAGGCTGTGTCGACCTAGGGGAGGCCCAGGACCGGTTCAGATAATCGCCACCGGTGTTGGACCGTGAGCGGGAATCGAACTCGAGTCGCCAAGTTCGTAGCGCAGCGCGCCAACCGTTGCACCACCGCTCCATACACAGACACTCACACACAGGCACTCACACAGACACACACACACACATAGACACACACAGAGACACTCACACACACACACATAGACACTCACACACACAGACACTCACACACACACACATACCACTCAGACACACGGACACTCACAGACACACACATATACACTCACACACACACATATACACTCACACATACACACTCACCAGGCAGCCCACGCCATTTCCCTTCTCAGCTACAAACTGAGCTGGCTCGCTGTCTGGGGTCACAAATCCCCTTTGTCGCACACGCACACGTCCCTGGAGTGCCGGATTATCCGAGTAGCAAGAGTAGTACATGCTACTCTTGCTACTCGGATACTTTCAGTGATTCTGCACTTTCTCGATTACTATAGTACTATACTGCCTTCAATTTTTATGAACGGCTGGGTGTTTAAGGTTCGCGATTTGTCGTATTATCTGGCTGTATAGCAAAATGAAAAAATAAAATTACTTTACTATGCAAGTTAAAATGTGTGTGTTTTAATATTTAGGTGGATTTTTTTATTTATTTAGGGCCCCTTTATAACATGCGCTACAGGCCCCGCAACTAGCTTAGTCCGCCTGCTGTTCAGCAATGACGCAACGCGCGAATCCGCACGTCCAGACGACCACCGCGTTGTTGCTCCGACACACCATGCTGAGCACCTCCGGGAAGACGGCAATAATTCCCGTGCTTCTACCAGCAGAGGGCGACGCTGAGAGAGGCAGCGAAGGTCCTGGGGCCGTGTTTTAGTCATTGCATTGGGTGACCTTTCGTGCGGTTCCCCGACAAGACACAAAATAGTGAGAACACCCCATTGTGTGAAGGACACGGTACTTGCGCGTGGTTGACCCGATCGGTGGCTTGGAGTGGGGTACATCATAATGGCAGTGGCAGTCGGATCGCAGAGCTGAGATTACTCGGGATCATTCTGCGTTTCAACTCGCTGGGGTTTCAAATGGATTCTCGAGTAGTTCTGAGTTGATTGTCAGTTAGTCGTTATAATAATAGGTTTTTTTACCCTTTTATCTGGCAACAAAACTGACACCTTTTTTTACAAGGAGTCATGTTTGCATAGACCACAATACCTGCGGTCGGAATGCAAAAAAAACACAACTCTGATAATGTATGCACTGTCCTTGAAATTGATTGGTCCACACCCGAGACAGCTTTCCTTAGAGCCTAGTCTCACATGGTGTTGGACCAGATGACGCCAAAAGGCGCACAACTCCAATTATCATATTTTGCTACTGGCAAATGAGGTTCCAATGGAGTTAGTCGTTACTTTGGCAATGCCAGCCTCGACCGCGAACCACTATCCTTCTTGCGGCATTTCCTGCCAGAGTCCACTTGTTATCCCTTAAAATCCTTACGATGTCCTCCCGTGCCTGCGTTCCTCTTGTATGTTGAACTTCTTTCGCACCGTACGCAGCCAACCGTGCTATTCGGAGGTGCGGGGAAAGGACAACAAACTAAGTACAAAAAACATTTAAAAAAAAAAAGTTTTTAAAGTAGATTATTTAAAAGTGCACATCTCCAGTGTCTTCCTAATATCCGAAGGAAGAGCGTTCCAGACGGCCGCAGAAGCGCATCTGAAAGCGCGCGACGCAGTGCCTCTCAGTGAAATTCCAAGCATTGCGACCTCCGCACGCTTCTTTGCGCACTTGTCGCCAAATAGCAAGAACAATGAGGGCAGCATTAAACATCTCTTCTGCTTCTGCATTGATTGGAGGTGAGGGAGGTCACAAGAGGTCACATTTGAAAGCAAGGCCCAACCAGGTCGCTCACAAAGCAGACCACATTTAGCCCACCACACTGACCCCTAGGACATCTATCGGAAACGAGATATTCCATCTGGACGGATCATCCAGGTGAAATGTTTCTTGATCGAGTAGCCAGGCGGCGGTGGCGCTCGCCTGTAATGCAGCGCTGTGGAGGCGAGGGTTTGTGGATCACCGCACAAATGTTGCTAAACTCCCGACTCTGGCTCACCAGGAGAAGGCAGTATCGCAACATGCCGACTAATATCTTTCGCTTCTGTATGAGATAGAGTGTTGTCCCCTCGTATGCATGACTTTTCTCCGGATGCTCCAGTTTCCTTTCCACATGTATAAAAACTCACTGGTTGGCTGAAAACATCTTCATACGTAGAGGACCGCAGAACTTTGGAAATTGTTAAATAACCGGGGTGATGGAGGGGGGTGTCAGAACCATTGTGGGTGGGGTCCGGTACGTGGAATGATTCTTTCCACTCTTTATATAAGCGTTTGTTTTCAGGACTCGCCGCTCAGGTTGGACGTGGAGGTCGCGACCCCTATCAATACTACACAGGCACAAGCACTGGGTGGGTAGGGTTGCGTCTGACTCTCTGTGGGTTGTCTGCGATGTCTGTCAGCCCCACTCCCCGTTAACGCTGCCTCACAACTACGCGGTGGGGCGCTGCGGGAAAAAAAACGACATTGTTGCACTGTACTTCTATGCTCTCGTTGTTTTGTGATTTCCAGCATCGTTAGGTTCAGCAGCAAACGCTGGGCCGGTTTCGACTTTCTTGAGTCTCATTCGCCGAGTGTGGGCTGAAAACTCTTGCCTTTTGTTATCTTGAACACCCATAATCGATCGCGACACGACAATTATTGGAGTGTTTTTTCTATCCCACGTGTCCTCTTCCATTTCACACGAGCACAACAATTACTCAAAACAACAACTGGTATACAGTCGGACTCCCTTGATAAGGAGCCTTGGGACCCCAGTGAAGCAAGACAATGACTCCTGCCTGCTGTTCATGTGCTGTGCGAAACCTTAAATCCCCCCCTTCCAACCTCTACCCATTGAACAGATGTTGGTGCAAGTGCACTTAGCGATATCGTCATATGGCTGGAACGGACGTGGCATGTGGCTAACGCCGCGCTCGGCTGCCTTGTGTCTCCCTGCTGATATGTTTTAGATAGTTTTTAGGGGGTGCCCAGGTCCCATGACCGGTTCACAAAGATAACAAATGCAAATATCCCCGGTATAGCCAAAACATGTCGGGGCAAGTGCTGTTAGCGAGCATTTGTGAAGCCCGGCCACGACGCACGAAGGGGTGGGTGGCCAGCACCACGCCCGGCCGTCTTTGTCTCCCGAGTGGCGATGTTTACACACCGTACCAGGTACTCATTTGAGGCTGAGTCGACCTAGGGTAGGCCTAGGACCAGTTCATATAATCGTCACTGGTGTTGGCTGTGAGCGGGAATCGAACTCGGCTGTCCGGGTTCGTAGTGCAGCGCGCTAACCACCCCCCCACCGCTCCCCCCCCCACGCAATGAATATACAGTACAGCACTCGCATACACCACATGCTGCACAGAGACGTGCGAATGAATGATCTTCGAATGCAGAAGCGTGCACTGTCTTTGCACGCCAGCGTTATCGCCTCGGTCTGACCGGGAGCCGAGATTCGAAGGGGTGAGCGAGCGGGTTCTGTGTTGGGGGGGGGGGTTATTGTGTGTGTGGGGGGGGGTGGATTGGGGAAGCCTCTGACGGATGAATGGTGTGGGGGGGTGAAGGGGAGAGGGTCCGTAGAGCAGGTGGGATGTTGCAAATGAAAAACAAAATCCGCGTGCGCAATTATGACGATATCACCCTCTCTTTCTCTTTGGCACCGGGAGAACACCACCCTCCCTCTCTCTCTCTCACCCCACAGCCCCCACCATCACCACACAGAGTCCGCCTCTCATCCCCTCCCACTCCTCCTCCCTCCCCACTCATCATCGTAGCGCCCGGCGTCACCGGCTGAACCGTCACGGAGCTCGAGACGGCTGGAGTCGCCGTAGAGAAAGAGAGAGAATAGCGCTCGCATTGCTCCACGATCTCACGCACGCGCGCACGCACACACGCGCGCTGTTGGATACCAAGCGCTGTGAGCGAACACCCATCGTTCCGTCACACACACACACAGCAACGCTCAGCACACCGATCGGATCGTTGACTTTAGTCGGGACACAGAAATACGCAGAGATGGAGTAAAACATCTGCCGGCCGCATTGTGTATCCCCCGCGCGCGCTGTTGTCGATTTAGCGGAGTGGGGTGGTGGTGGTGGGGGGGTGGTGGTGGGGGGGGTGGTGGTGGTGGGGGGGGTGGTGCTGGTGGTGGGGAGTTTTGCGTTAAACTGGTGCCTGAAGCTCCTCTCCGGGATCTCATCTCGGCGCCCTGCACCGCCCTGCGGCGGCCCCGCATGCACCGAGCGAAGTGAGTGCTGCATCGGCGGGCAAGAAGAGAGAGGGGGGGGCGAAGCGGAACGTGGCGTAGACGCCGGCTATCGAAGTGAGCGCGTACGTACCGCACAATGACACACGTGCACACACATATATGTGTAGATACACGCGTGTGTGTGCGTGCGCGCGTGTGAATTGCTCTCGCTTGCACGTACAGACCCGTGCGCGTGTGTGTACACGTGCGTTGGCACAAGACACTTTGGCATACGTCCCTTGTGGCACGCATTTACGTACGTGCAAACAGAACATCTGCTGGACTACATCTGTCGTGCATACGCGCGTGCACGTACGTGCACGTGTATAGGTCACAGACGCCGACGTGACGACACACACAGATGCGTATTTGTATACACACAAAGATCCCCCGTGTAGCCTGAACAGACTGTTGGGGCAAGTGCTGTTAGCGAGCAGCACCTATGAAGGCCGGCACGGCGCACGAGGGGGTGGGTGGCCAGTACCACGCCCGGCCGCCTTTGTCTCCCTAGTGGCGATGTTTACACACCGCTGTCAGGTGCTCGTTTGAGGCCGAGTCGACCTAGGGGATCGCCGCGCGATAACCGCTGCACCACCGCTCCCCATACGTACACGCAGAACAAAGACACACTGACCACATACATACACACGCGTGTATACGCATGGATACGGTCACATTCGGTTTAATACGTATGATTTCGCGACCAATACCAGTACATCAACACCGGTGTGTTGGAGAGCAAATCCAGCCAGATGGCTTGTCCGCCTGATGGTGCTAGTTGTAATTACTGTCGAAACGTTGTACTCAGATTGTAAATGTTGTGGATTTGCTCTCCAACACACCGGTGTGCTGTACTAGTGACGAATTGACACGTTCTGTTTACGTGATAACCCCTTTTACTAGTTGGCTGTGTCGGGTGGTGGCGGGTTTAACGACACATTATATTTACGCGATCTAACCCCCCCATAAAAAACCTATATTACGGTCACATTCATACACAGACGTTTTAACATCGCAGTGATAGCCGTGGCCGGGAATCGAACCAAGACTAGGCGGGTTCGTAGCGCAGTGTGCGAACCGTTACCCCCCCCCCCCCCCACACACACTACACACAACTACACACACACACAACCACACACTCACAACCACACACACACAACTACACACACACAACCACATACACACAACCACATACACAACTACACACACACAACCATATACACACAACCACATACACAACTACACACTCACAACCACACACACAACTACACACGCAACTACACACACACACGGCACGGAAATCATCCGCGGTAACGGAATTACAACGGCGTGGAATTGCGTGCAAACGATTGCAATCGCTACCATTCATCTTGTTCCACGTCGAATGCGTGCGGTGCCGTGTAATTCCGCTACCGTCGAATCTCCCCCCCCCTCCTACCCTACTGCACGCATCCACAAAGATACCCCCCCCCCCCCGTGTAGCCTCGGGCAGACTGCTGGAGCAAGGAGTGTTAATGAACGCCTATTAAAATCCGGCACGTGGCGCACGAGGCTGCTGGTGGTGGTGGTGGTTATTCTCTCGCCCGGATTTCGTGTCGCCGATGTTTAACACAGCACACGCTGGGTTATTGATTTAAGGCTGAGGCGACCCTAGTGGAGGACCAGAACCGGTTCTGGTTCACAGCGCGGTCCGTTTATCGTCGTGCCACTGCTCCCGATGACACAACAAAGACAAAGATCTCCCGTGTAGCCTTAGACTATAGGGGCAAGTGCTGTTAGCAAGCACCTATGAAGGCGGGCACGGCACACGAGGGGCTGGGTGGCCAGCACCCTACCCGACCGCCTTTGTCTCCCCAGTGGCGTTGTTTACAACGCCGCACAAGGTTCTCACTTGCGGCTGAGTCGACCTAGGGGAGGCCCTGGACCGGTTTAGGTAAATCGTCACCGGTGTTGGACGCCGCCGCGTGGAAATCAAACCCGGAGTCGTCGGGTTCGTAGCGCAGCGTGCCAGCCACTGCACTGCCGCTCCCCATCCGTGCGTAGACAAATACAGACACACACACAACACGCGCGGTCATGCGAGGCGAGGTGCACTTTGAGGCCACGTGAAGTTACCGAAGGCTCGCTGACAGGTCACGGGACAAACTCGGGTGGCATGGGTTTACCGCCCGTGATTATTACCGACGCGTGCGGGACCTGTGCTCCTGACTGGGCCGACTTGCTGAGTTTTAGCCGCCCGGCGCTCCGCTCGTTGTTGCGAGCGTCATTGTTGGAGGACGACTGCCTCCAACTCGCGAAGGACGCGACTGGGCATTTGTAGGGGCATTTAGGAGGCAGCTGCCCGCTACAACTGACCGGTAGCGTTCTTCACTACGAGCCGAATCCAGAGACCGGTCTTGACATCACTGGCATCGCTCATCGGCAGGTCGAATAAACTTTACATCCACCTGTACCACATCAGCCAAACTCTTCTCTCGCCCATGCCGGGATTCATCTTCTTGGTTCTTTCGGTAAAGTCACGTAGAATGGAAATAATAAAATAATAAAAATAAAACATAATAAAATAATCCTCACGACGTTTCGGCCACAACGCAAGCAGCCGTCCTCAGGTGAAGAACAGGTCTGTCGAGAAGACAGAGTCTTCTTATTATTTCCCTTCTACGTGACTTTACCGAAAGAACCAAGAAGATGAATCCCTGCAGTCACGAAAGCTTTAAATCGAAATCATGCCGGACCCGTTTAGCTCCCTCTGACCAAATAGAGGCTGCTTAGACACGCAGTGGCGGGGCATGCGGGCTACATGAACCAACGTAGCCTCGCCCGGCTCTCTGAACCTCCTCGCGAATGCTGTCATAGACGCCCTCATTCTCAGACGTGGGATGTTGTGGACAGTGGGAGTGGGCCTGTTACCTTTTTTTTCTCAGCTAGCCGGAACACCTCCATTAGCCAGGATTTTAGAGCGAGGTCTGGACTGCGTACTGAACGTGACCACAGCAACTGCATCAGCCACAGTTCTAAACCTCACCCATTCCCCTTTGGCATCAGAAGGAGGGAAGTATGAGATGCCAACTCCAGCCTAAAGGGATGATATATAAATGCTTAACACGTAGGCTTTCGCGACCAATATTATTCATAATCAACGTTTTTGGGTTTAGATCGCGTTATTTATAAATGTGTCGTAACTCTCCACCACCCGACACGGCCAATCAGTAAAAAAGTGTCACGTTGACAAAAGACAAATAGTTCACTGCTTTAGCCCACCGGTATGTTGAAGCGTGAAACCACAACATTTGCAATTTGAGTACGACGTTTCGCTGGTAATTGCATCCAGCAACATCAACACACCGGTGGGCTAAAGCAGTGAACTATTTGTCTTTTGTCAACGTGACACTTTTTTACTGATTGGCCGTGTCGGGTGGTGGAGGGTTACGACACATTTATAAATAACGCGATCTAACCCCAAAAACGTTGATTATGAATATAAATTCTTGCTTGCAGGTTTCATCAGCTAGCCGAGACCAGGCTATTGTGGGTTTTTAAAATGGTCGTAGGTGGATGCCCACCACCACAGAGGAAGTGTGGCAGGCGATTATTACAGATGGCAAAGCAATGGTCAAATTGACAGATTGCCTCCACGATAGCTTCTGATGTGGAGGACATGGGCTCGCTTTCAACGTTCCAAAACTATATACTCCAGCAAGCGTTCTTGCTTGGACCCGGCGTGCATCCATGATATTGTGTGATGCGCTGATGTCAGAACAGCGTGTTGGTGGTTACAAGTATAACAGTGTCCTACCGTTGTTATTCAGCTGATCTCACCGATCCCCTCAAATCACTAAAGTCCAGGTGGCTGCGTCATGACCCACTCGAGCATTAAAGTCACACAACAGGATAACTATCTCGAGGAGCCACTCTAGCCAGCACCTAGGACTGCATGTCATAGAAGGCATCGGACTTATCAGCCTTGCCTGCATCCCTCCACTATACACACACTCATCGTTAATTGGCTTTAAACATCTTAAAATAAAAACACAACGCAGGAACCTTCTGAAAAACAATCCTAGGACTCAGTGTGGCTTTCCTGAATCAATAAATAAAATCAACTTCCTTTTCGGTGGAGGCTCAAACCACCACCACCACCATTCCTCAAGTTGATGGAGAGGTGAGCCCACAGCAGCCTGAGACTCACAACTTCACACATCTCACCCACATGTTCCCATGCCGTCTTCATTCTTTTGTTAAAGTGGAAGAGCCACTCTCTGTTGTCTGCCAGTTTCCTGCCCCGAGTGGAGGACTATCCACCCCTCGATGTGACTGGAGCCAGACATCAGCCCATCGGATCTCCGATTGCACCACAGTGGTGCAGGCGGTACCGGTCCAGCTCTCGACAGAGGAATTGCAGCCTCTCCTCTGCATACTCTTAGGTTTTTTCGGTAAAGTCACGTAGGTAGAAATAAATAATAATACAATAAATAACCTTGTATTTTTACCAACGTGACTTTACCGAAAAAACCTAAGAGTATGAATCCTTGCAGTCACGAAAGCTTCAAATCTAGAACTCTCCTCTGCAGTTAGCGTTTCAACATTCCACGTGGCCAACTGCAGTGGTTTTCTGCAGTTTCTGGAGGAATCCTGAACGGGGGTGCAGGGGGGGAGGGGTTCAGTCTCCTGGTTCCATCAAATGGGGTTTATCGAGGAGATGGGGTTTATCCATAGGCCTCTGTTCCCCCGGGGCCTCTGGCACAAGCTTAGTTTGGTCTATAACAGGTCGTGTCCTGGTAGATTCATGGCAGGACAGCAGCGTAACGAGCGTGGGGGGCAGGCAGGGGGTGCCTTGCCCCCCCCCCGCCCACCCTAGTGGCCAAAGCTACGAGTTGGGGCCTCCTTGACAACCAGCATGAGATGCGTTTTCAGCAACGGTGTAAAATAACACGAACTTATCTAAAACGCGGTTTAATTGTTTTGTCTTTTCATTTGCACGTTTAATTTTTTTGTAATCAAATGTAGAGCGGTAAGGTGATATTGCAAAGGGGTAACTACGGAGCTGTAGTGGCTGCATGAAATTTTCGAAGCCATGAGCGTA